TTACTCTCAATTTCTGTAGTTACACCCATCTCTGAATCTTTGTCCAGAACTGGTCTGGTGTAAGCAGGCTGTAAATTCATTTGCCTTTTTTTACCCTAGGTAGGCTTTGCTTCATCTAATATGGTGCAATAACCTGATCCAGAAAATAGACTTGGCTATACTGTATACTAGCAGTAATCATGTCTTTTACAAAAAATTTTTTTTCTTCAAATAGAAGAAGTGATTATGTTATATTGATACACCATCTACAACTAGGCTAAAAATTAGTGCTCTTACCCATGGAAAGGGGGATGTGCCATTACTACTGGTCTGTAGCTTGCTATACACTTCCTGTTGAAGTTATGCAGGAGGGAAATCAGAGGTCTTTACCCAAAGAAGGAGGAGAACACAGAATATTACAGAATGTTTCTTTATTTTACAGTAAGAAATATTACTGCATAAAATACCTGAGTAGTCCCTAAACCAGAGATTGTAACCCAGGGCTCCCATTAAGGCTTTTATTTGGTCTTGTTCTAAATGTAGATAAACATCCAGAAATTGCAGTTCAAAGTTGCTAATACTCAATGCTTAAAAGTAATCCCTGAAACAGTGGCACCATTTTACTTTATCATGACAATTTTCATACATACTCACGACACATTTCATTTCAAACATAAAGTTTCGATTTCTAATTCCACATGACTGAAACTTTTGCCCTATCCATCTGCTGTCCAGAACATCATTTGCAGAACAGCTTTTGGCCTCAGTTAAGCAGAACACCTTTATTTCTGTGAGACTAGAAAGAGTAAAAACACTTAATAGTTTGGGGTTTTTTTGTTCTGTTTTGTTTTTTTTAAGAAAGTACTTCCTACTAGGAGATACTCCAAAAGGAAGGTTTCTTGACTGATTCTGTCTGCATGCACAAAAATTTCCATTGTTTCTAGTACTGGTGTGTTTCTGTTGTGGCAGAGGTGGTTAGATTGTAACATGTAAGATTGTAATCGCCATATGATGTTTTACTATCTAAAATGTACCCTGGTTTGGTTTACCTAATCCAGACTATGAATTTATGTTGGAGAAACAAGAGAAGAATAATCCCAGCCAATATATTTTCACAAACCCGCTCCAAAACACCAGTGATTTCTTTTTGTCTCCTCAGTACATTCAGCATATTTCCACTTAGCAACACAATTTGCATTAAAGCCATTAGAACAACCAGGATTGGGAAGTTAATCCTATTGCAAAGTCAATGAGGAAATGCCATTTGCTGTTGCAATGTCAATGAAAAAAATACTGGTATTAAAGTTGCCAACCCTCCTCTGCTCCTCACACAACCTGTTTCCACCCAGGTTTGTACATACTGAAGCACATACCTACATGATTATATGCTTGAGCCATTGCATGGGACAGACCTGCTCTAGAAATGAACTGACGCTGTGAAGCAGGCTGAGGTTTAAGACTTGTGTGTAGACTATGTGAATGTTTTGCTGGAAGAATGATTTCAGATCAGGGTAATTGAAGGATAAGATGGAAAAAATCTGTGGCAGATATTCTTTGTAATACTGAGTAAATTACTTAAAACTGAATTCTTCACAGGTGTTCTCTAATTCTGTTGCTTGACCTTAGCATAAATGATAGTCTATGTTTAGCTGGATTTACTGAAAGGAGGTATTTAACTATCATAGTCTTGTGCTTCAGTTTTCTTCTCAAAAAAGATGAGATGGCAGTGTCTGCTATTTAAGTGCCTAAAATGGATACGTAGGAAAACAATACTAGCTTATGTTAAGACTGCATTATTAGCCATTCTAAGAGGCATCTGGGAAAAGATTGCTTGAGCAACTTAAAATTTGTCATTTTTCCTAAGATTTGAGTATGCTTAATTTTGCAGTATAATCATTAATGGTAGTATATTTGATGTTTTTCTTTTAAAAAACCACCACCACAACAGCAAGGAAGAGCAAACAAAAACCTGAAAAATCAGTTCCAGAATATGCTATGCTGATTTCCATACCAGTCTTTAGCAAAGCTGGTCTTGTAACTTGTAGACTTCTGGTCAGTGAGGTAGGAAAGTAACCATTAACACCATGTATCACATGAAAAGAAATTGGAAACTGTCTCACAGGTAACATGTAAGAAAGCCAAAATTGTTTTTTTCCAGTGTTGCCAGGGGAGGGAAAGTTAGATGTGTTTCAGAAACAATTAAAGAGAATGTTGTTTCCAAGCAACCACAAAAGATCTCATCTGAAACGAGCTATTGTATTAGAAAATGTAAAAAAAAAAAGGGGGGGGGGGAGATTTTTTGGTTATGGTTGCTACAGTTGGTATGGTAGAGTTTGCATGGAGAATTGGGGGTAAATTAACTTGAAATTACATGACTGGTGAATAGCTCTGTAAAATGAGGGGGCTGGACTAGATGACCTTTGAAGGTTCCTTCCAATCCGAACTATTTTATGATTGTATGAAGAAGGCAGTAATTGCCAAACATCAGGAAAATACGTTTAGTAACTTAATTACAAAAACCCAAACCCAGCCCCCCCCCCTCCAAACCCTAATCCAAATCTTAGACATGTACTTACAGTAAGCATTAGCAGGGAGAACTAGGTGCATATGTTTTGGCTTCTCTGTGCTGCACATGGAAAATATATTCTTGAAGTCACATTATTCTGTCTCCCTTTTCCCGGACCTGAGATGGCAAGAGTAATGTTATACATGCTATAAGGCTGTGGGATTGTGTGGTTGGTTTTGCATGGATGGAACTCTCCGTATGATCAGTTACAAAGAAAGTTGCACGATCAGCTTTGTGGTCACACTCCATAATTCTCTCAGAACTATCAAAGTATGTGAGCACCAAGCTGAAATGATGTTTTAAACCATGTTACTTTTTGAACCACATCAAGGTTATGTCAAGGCTCACCTGCTTTGTCTTCTTCGGTTTGCCAAGTGTGCGAGGAAATGGGATTTCTACCGTTTGTAGAAATCTGGTGGCTTTCCAGTGTAGTGAGTGGTTTTTGGGTTGTATTTTTTTTTTAAACTGAAATGTGATCTGCCCGCATTGCCTACAGTCTGCAAGAAAGCTGAATTTGTTAATTCCTGCCCATACTAGAGCTTAATTTCTGCCAATACTAGAGCCCTTGCTAGTTTATGCTAGAGCTTTGTTACCCTGTGCAAGAGAGACTGCTTTGAGGGTATGATCCAAGTCTTAAGAATGTAATTACAGTGCAGAAATGCTAATTTACTGTATAATACAACTTCTTATAAATGTTAAAATTATACTTTAATCTAAACAGGCGATGTAAATTTAAGGTACAGCTTCAGCCGTCATTATCTGTGCCTGCACTAGTAATAACTGAACCACTTTTATTTGAATTTTTCTGTTCAGCCTATAGCAGATGCAAAATATTTGATTTGGCAAAGAGAACATGATGTCAGAGCATCTTACAATTGCTTGCAATGTTAAATCTTCAATGGGAAAGAGAAGGAAGGTAACTACTCATGCAGCAAGCTTGTACCGCTAACTCTTACACTGTGGGAGTGACCATAAGTACTTCAGTAAGTTATATTACATAAGAACAAAAGCAGCTGTAGTGGATCCGCATATAGCTTGATAACTGGAATCCAAGAGCAGCCACAAATGATGCTTAAGGAAGAATGTAAGAACAGAGCAAATATGTACTTCCCTTTCCCTACCCCATTTGCTATCCCAGACTCTACATTCCTGAGTCATGACTGGTTCCTGCATACGTGGAGGTAATCAGTAGCATTTTCTGCCATGAAGTTGTTGTTTCCTCTTGAGCCTGTATTCATTTCCAGCATCTGCAAAAACCTTTACTGCTTAACTGTGGGTTGTGTGAAGAACTACCTCTTTTTCATTATTTTGAGGCTTGCTGAGTAAAATCTGCTGTTTTGTTGTCAGGCCATGACTCGGAATCCTTCTTCACTCAAGTCCTCTTATTACCTTGTATAACTTAGTGTCATCAGTAAAATCACATCGTGCTGTTGAACAGAGTAGGTGCTACTGTAGGGTGATTTAGCATTCTATTTGTTAAAAGATATTTATTTACTCCCACTTTGTTTTCTATTTTTTAACCAATTTTATGTATGCAAGGATATTCCCTTTTACCTTATGGCTGCTTGGCTGCTTTAATGAGGGAGAGCTTTTTCTAGATAAGTGTCATGCAGATCGTCATACTTCTAGTGACACTGTATGTCTCCCTGTCCACCAGTATTGCCTATCAAGCCTGCCTCTCCTCCAAACCTTACCTTACCCCCAATTCTTTCCGCCACTGCACTATTACTGTGTTAAGAAAAACATTTGCCATATTGGTGGGATTGTGCTACAAGGTTTAGTCAGTGGCTCAGGGCAGTGGCTTAGCCTGTGTTTTGTTCCTTTGGTTTTAGGGTGAGAATCAGAGAGATCTGAAGAGAAACTCAAGGGTTTTGGGGATTTGATTAGGAAGCTTGGTTAATCTGAATACATATCTGGTATCTCTCAGCTAGAAGATGCTTGTCTTTTAACAGTGAAAGTCGCTACCTCTGTTCCATAATATGCAAAGTAAATGAGCTCTGGTAAGTGCATGTGTTTCATTGGCAATAAAAAAAAAAGAAAAAGAAAAAAAAAAGCCAGACATGATGTAAATCCTCCCTGGAATTGGACATAATATTGTAGGTTCACTTGCAGTTCTGAAATCT